TCTGAATTTCAGAGCCAAGCTTTCCTCTGAAGCACCGTGTGAGTTCACTATATTCAACTCGCGTCAAAAATTCTTACACGCCAAATAGAAAATAACAGTGACTTTGCTGTTACTGGAGGTTTTCTCTTAAAGCACCGTTCGCTCCCATTCCCTAGGTGTTAGGGGGCATAGATGCAACCTGCGAGGTGACATGGCATGGGTGCTGTGACGGCTGAGGGTGGGGTGTCTTCTGCTGAGGACAGCAAGGCTAATGAGGACATTGCTGCTGGGTGGTGAATGAGGCGCGTTGCCCCTGAGCGGTGCTTTCTCGTCCTGCGGAGCTGAATGCAGTGAATGGGGAAAGCTGCTGATTTAATAACACAGCTTCAGAGAAAACAACATACTTGCGGGAACAAGAGAGAGGGGTTAGAGTATCGTGGTGGCCAAAAGGAGTTTTTGAGTGAGATTTCCAAAAAGATGAAAAACTGTTCAGACAATGACACAAAGACTGCTTTCCAGGCATCAGGAGCTGCAGAGGAGAAGCTTCACCGTTAATGAGATTTTTTGGATTGGGTACAAAAGGCAAGAACTAAAGAGGAAGGCCATAGGTCTCTGACACCAGCAGGTCCCCAGAGGGTGTTGAGAAAAGGAAGGTAAATGTGAATGGCGTACTGAAAGGAACCTGTTTTGTCTTGAAGAGGTGGTGGATTTCCTTGCGCTTACCTGATGAGGCAGACAGCTGGATATTATGGGTGCACGGACATGTAGGAGAATACTTGTCCTGCCCTGCATGTCTGCTGACCGCGTTCCAACTCTAAATCGGATGCTTTCTGGTTGGGGTTAGCACCAGGTTGTTCCTGCACTGATAAACCTCGCCAAGAGATAAGCACAGCTCCACGCTAGTGTCGCTTCTGAACTCTTGAGCGTGCTTCTACCTGGGAAGAGTGTGGGCACATCGTAGGGAGCTCAAGGGCAACACCCATGGGTGCCATCTCGGATAGAGCTCCAGCAAACACGAGTCAGAATGAGCTTATCCTCCACTGGAGTAGATATTTTGTGTGCCAGGATGTGCGCCAGAATTCGGGTATGTGGAAGGTAAACATTGAATTTAGATGTGCCTTTCTTTTAAAGTAATGGCGGTTTTGTGGCTTCTTGGTTCACGTTATATCTTGGTTCACGTTATATATGACACACTGCGTCCTGCTGCTGACGCACTGGAGTGATGCTGGGTTATATTTATACCTATTACCATTTCGGCTTGTGTCATCGCCCAGCCTGGACTGGGTGAGGCATGCCTGCTGTTTTGGGGAGGGAAATGCTGTCTTCACAGTTTCTGTAAATGGTTTAGCATCTCCCATGTTGGCATTGCTTCCTGCTCACGAGCATGCCGCTTACCAGGTTGTACGCAAGCGTTGGGGTAGTGACAGAATTGCCGTCGATATATTGGGTGATAGGTCTCATAACGTGTGTGCGTGTCCCTGGGATGCTGCAGAACTTCCCATTGAGGTGCTTGCCGTGGCATTTAGCTTGTCTGAAAATGTCTGATGTGTGTGAGATATGGGGAGAAGAATCAACAATTGCAAAGGATAGTCCGTGGGCAAACAGTGCGGAGAGCAAGCAGAGACGAGTGTTCCCTTGCATGCCAGCTGTTTGGCGGTGCTTACGCCCAAAGTTTCACACTTATTTCTGCTAAAAAACCCAACGAAGCTTCCAGCTAGACCCTTTGAGAGAATAAGTATCTTCTTTACCTGCATCTCCCAAACTGGTATTGCTAACAGCCTTCGTGTAGGTGGCACATACCCTAACGTACTCATCACGATTCTTCTGCAGGTAATTTGAAAAAGGATTGTGGCTGTGTGCTGAGCTGGACATCTGCCGCTTCCTTGGGCAGCGAGACATCTCTGCTGAGAGAAGACCCCAGGGAAATGGTTAAAATCTCGAGGCACTGTGGCTGTCAGTGTCACAGCTGCAATGGATATTGAGAGGGGGATTTAAAGAAGAAAATAAGATCATGGAGGATTACTGAGGGAGAGCATCCTATGGAGGACTAGTGAGCAAAGTTATTTTGGTCTCTTCTGTCATCAGTGTTAGAAAACTTACTCAGGTGTTTGTGTTTCCTGGCAGTTTTGTTGTCAGTGGCTTTGGACCAGATCATGCTTTCCAGCTCCTGACCTTAACTGCGGGTCTTGTTTCGCTACTGGCTTTCGTACCAGCTAAATTTCAACGCTCGCTGCCTGGCCTTGGGACCTCTGTGGGATGTGGCCTGTCTGCTCTTGCACTGACTTCTCACTCAGCACATCCAAGTTTCCAGGGAAACGTGCTTTTCTGTGTGTTTTGGTGATGATAGAAGCGATGAGGATTCGCGGAGACCCACTCTTTGATAGGCATGCATACCAGAGAGGCAGATCCTAGGATGTATTTTGAAGTACAGAAGCTGAAAGCGTCAGCAAATCCTGCAGCTCCTAGTATTGTCTGATTGTTATTGCTACACAATTGTCTGGGCTGAGCAGTATATTTTTTCCATTTCTGTTAAGAACAGCAATAACAGTACCATTTATAGAAACTGCACCACCTGAGCCACTGAATTTGGCTCAACCTTGCTTTTTTCCCTGAGATTTGAGATTACTGCTAACCTTTAGAACCATGGCAAAACTTGAAATTACTGTCTTCTGCTTTCTTTTCCAACTTCTTGGTACTATTTTTTTTGCAGATATGAATCTTAATGCCCAGTTTTGTCTATTAAAGACCCGTCTGAACCCTTTGGTCTCCTTTCCACTCAAGTTGTAAGTTATTTGTGCCAAAATGAGTCTGCAGGAGTGAGTCAGCATCTTCCTTCAGACCTTCAATATCTGCCTGTAGGGAAGGTCAGCCAAAAATTCTGCTACTTGTTGCACCACGTGGAATTAGCCAGAACTGTGCCTTTCTCTTAATTCAATCACTGGTTGATTTAATTGCTTTATTACTAACAGGATAATTATATTTGTAAAAAAACCCAAACCACCCAAACTTGAAACCTCTAGCATTTATTTTTCTCTTTCTAAGCAATTAGGTAATTGATTAAACTACTGGCTATTGTTAGTGCAATTACCTGAATTGGCTCTTGATTAATAATGACAGTCAAGAAAAAGAGCTGTTTGGGATAAACCAGCCAAAGAATAACAACAGGATAGGCATTTAATTGTCTGTAAAAGTTGTTGTTCGGATTACGTTACTGACATAAATGCTGTCACGCTTCACACAAGCAGTTCTAGACCTCTTGGTGATCATATACGTGATAAAATGAGCGATGGAGTTCGGTGAAAGCGGTAGGATTAGGTATGAGAAAATCCCTGAGTTAATCCTTAGTAACATAACGAGTAGCTTTGAGATAGCTGGGTGAAAGGTGCTACGTAGGGATGGATGATATTTATTTTTATACCAGAGCTTGTGTGTGCTGTAATATATATATAGAGAGATATAAAAACAATATTTATTTGTAAATGACCCTGGCTTTCAACACCTGGAGAGCAAGGCTGGTGTTTGTCGGTCCTAATCATTGTTTGCTGCACTTCATTTTTCCGTACTAATGAATCCCTTAGCTAAAGCGTTGGGCGCAGGTACATGTATTTCTTTTTTCCTGTTCTCCTCAGTGCTTTTTCTGGATGTTTTGCATCGAATAATATTAATGCAGATAGGATTTCTGTTCCTTTATCCCAGAACCTAAGGATGTGCGGGTCTGATAGGAAGTCAGAACAACCATCGCACAGCTCCTTGGTCTCTGCTTGTGTGGGGGACCGTGTGGCACACGTGTACTGCGTTGCTCGGCACGAGAAAGCAAATGTTGGGCTCTAGTCACCGATAATGGCATGACTTACTGTCTAGCGATGCCCAGAAATATCTTTCCAGCAGCTTTTCTTTGTATATGTGGAAGTAATATGGTTTTTTTTCCCACCATGCAGTTCAGTGACGTTAGCCTGAGACTTTTCTGTACTATTGATTTGTACGTTCGGGCCAGGACCAGTGGTACAGTCAGTGCTCAGGTCTGCAAAGCTTATTCGTTGCTGGCAAAATTAGCAGAAGGCAGAAAGTGCCTGCTGCTTCTCCCCCCCCCCCATCTTTTTTTAGTTTGTCATGACAAGCCAACTGCTAGCATTTATGGGAATAAATTATGACTAAAATAATTTGCATTTAAAATGCAAATGAATGAAGGCGTCAGCAAGGAGCCTTCTGCTTTCTTCCTGGTGTACAGACGGGGTACTGGCATTGGATCAGCCCAGCGAGGCACTCAGTATAAAATAAAGTTAATTGGACTAGCTGAAAAATGAAATGGGCTCAGCCTCATGCTAATTCCTGGGCCTGTGATTTAATATGACATTAGAGAGGAAGGATTGGGAAGGTGCTGAACCACTGACTAAACCAATCAGCAGAGCTGTAAATTACACTTCTGAGATTCCCAATGGCAGATTGAGAGGCCTCAGTAAAATTGCGGAGGTGAATAAAACCTAGCTTGGAAGCAATTTGTCAGGATCTTCGGGCTCGCATGAATTAGAGTTTAAGTTTCATTGTTCATTTTCTAAAAGTTGTCTATTGTAACACTGCCTGAATACCAACTGGGACTGCAGTTTTGTACAAGGTGAAAGCTGCCTGTGGATGTAAAGCCAGTTGGTTCTCGAACAAAACCTCTTTCAGACGAACCAAGAAACTGGTGATGCGTCTCTGAAGGTAGTGTTTTCTTGTTGGAAGCTGAAGTTCAATTTTCTGCATCGTTTATTAATTTCTGGGCCTGTAGGTGCCAGGACAATGTGAAGAATATTTTATGGACTGCCTGTGGCCAAGGAAAGAAGCGCAGGAGGAATTCAGGATAATCCTTCAGTGCAATTGTAGCAATGGTTGACTTGTTTCCTCCTTAATAGGACATGGAAAGTGTTATACAGCAGAACTTGAGCATGGTAAATGAGAGAGGCTTGGCTTTACAAACATGTGCTGCTTTACTCTGGCAGTGTGTTCCTGTAGTGCAGTAGCTGATGATAATACCTCATGCCTCTGTTCCGTGTGTCACCCTTGTTTTAATATCTCTCTCTCTTCTCTCTTTTTTTTTTATAGCCATGTTACTGAAGATCACCTTGTCTTCTGGAAGTAGAAACACAGTGAACAGATGAATCTATTCAGCCAGACATTCCCCCAGTAGATCTCTCTGCTCATGGAGCACCACGGCAGGGAGGAGATGGACTCGAAAGAGGAAAGTCCTCAGGTGTGGGCTGACTCTGCTGAGCAGGAACAGAATACTGCTCAGGTGACTAGTGCCTTCCAGAGCTCTCGGTTTCTGCTCAGATTGAATTGGGCTCGGTGCGGTGGCTTAGCAAGCCGGCGTTCCCATTTGACTGTTTCTTACAGTCTGGAAACTCAGCTTTCATTTGAGGAGAAATACAGACATGTCTGTGGTGATGTCAGATTAAAGCTTCAGAAAGTGAGCTGGGCAAACTGCGGCAGCGAATACGCAGACATCTGAAACGAGCTAAACAAAACCAGCCAGTGGCTGTAGAAGTTTCGGTGTCCAAATATATGTATAACCATGTGGGAAAGTGAAAGGGTATTCAGATTAATGAGTATTAACAAAGTCTGTGGTCTGTGGCAGCCCATTTTGATGGCATCAGTCGAATCAGTTGGAACTGTGGGTGGACCTTGGGGAAAGTAATATGAATAATTTTTTCCAGTCAGACATCTGGGTAGCGGGGAAGGGAGAAATGTTAATTGTTAGTGACTAATACAGTCAGATTCTGATGTATGCAGCTAGTCCCTCTGAGGCAGTGCAGCTGAGAATTTCTAGAAGACTGTAAATTGATTTCTTCTTTTGAATATGTTATGAAGAGGGTGCTGCATGTCATTTGACCCACGAGCTGAGAAATTCTGACTCTCCTGGTAATTTCCAGCTTTGACATTTGCAAGGAAAGGCACTTTTCAATGGCCTGTGTTCCGTTATCTCTACAGTGGAATAACCATACTGTTGTTTGCACATGGCAGTTATAAGGCTTAATTAGTATTTGCAGAGTGCTCTCCAAATGTGAAACACTGCATGCATCCTTACTGTAGTGTTTGCATGAGGATTTATTGTACAGAATCAGCACTTGGCATCTGCGGGGGAGTACCAGGTGTCTTCTAAAACAAAAGCTAGAAGGTGAAACAAAGTAAATAAAATGATGCCACAGGTTTTTTCCCCACATATTTTTATGTGAAAACACTTTATGTGAATATGAGTATGGATACTAAAACTGGGTTTCCTGTTAACTGTTCTATTTTACCCACATGCTGAAAATGGTTTTCAGCATGTAAAGGGTGTCAAAAGATAAACATGTTCCTATTGCCACTGGAATTAAGTTATCTGGCTTCTTTAAGGTAGGCCACTGATCATCATTTGTCATCATTATGTTCTGTCAGAATCAACTTGTTTGGATTTCAGCTGCTGCCCTAGACATAGCTTGTTCCAGTCGTCCTTGGAATCACTGCTTAATGTTTTAAGTTATATGTTTCTCTGTTTAAATAGTTGGATTTTCTACTGGTGCTGTATGTACATACTACAGAGAAGCAATCTAACATACACTATTGCTTCCTCATGATAGGTGCAATACTATTACTTGCAGGAGTATCAAAGTTAATAGGTTCTGTTAGCCGTTCATCAGACAGAAAAAATTACATCCAACTACAGAACTAGCTGAATGAAGTAATTATCATAAATCCAGAAAGGAATATGAGAATAAAGGGAAACAATATACCAATAAATCCCATAGATACACCAGTTCAAATCTGAACTTTCTTTCGTTCATGACTTTTCAAAGCATCGTACAAGAGCTAAGTATGGGAAGGTGCCCTTTGTAGCAGTTAGGTCTTGAGTTAAAATGCAGAGTAAAACCAGAAACTGGTGGTAGTTTATGTCCAGATTTCTATGTTGCTAGCATGATTCATTGAGACTTTAAACGTGTATTATACAGTGAGTTTTTTATTGTATTGAAAACAATTGGCTAGGAAGTTGGGACACGAGGTACTCTCTGCTTTCCAAGGCACCTTGCAACCTGCGTGTCTCGTGTTGTTTCCCATAGACATATGTTTCGGTTTCAGTACAGGATCTGTTTTTTTTTTCTTTTCTTCCAGGTGCACTTTGTCCCTGAGGGGGGGACAGTGGCACAGATTGTGTACAGCGATGAGCAGGACCGTCCCTCGCAGCAGGTCGTCTACGCGGCGGATGGCACCTCCTACACCTCCGTGGACACCTCGGAGCACACGCTCGTTTACATCCATCCCGTGGAAGCTACGCAGGCATGTGTGGTTCTGAGCCCACCCCATTCTGGCACCTAGAAAACAAAACAATCTTGTTTGAGCTTAAAGCCAGTTACCAGCCAAGTGATATGACGGGAAAATAGCAGGCAGTTGCTCTTAACGCTTTTATCTGCCCATTGCTGAGCAGGGACTTCATGCTGTTCATTTGTCTGATGTGCGAATGTGGTAATCAAAGGATGTCAAGGCTATGAGTTATGAAATGCTGGTTATTTCACTGAAGGTGGACGAGATTATAACTAGATCAAAGGTGTTTTCCAAAACATGGATAATCTCTCCAGAAATCCTGCCTCTGTTGTATTCGGTAAAATGCCAAGAGGCATCGCTGTGTCTTCTGGAAGAGTCCTTGTTTTGCATAGTACAGTTCTCGTAATTCATAGTTACAATAACAGTCATGTCTTTTTGCAGCGGATCTCAGTGTATTCAGTCTAATTTTGTAGTCTTTCTTCAGAGAAGTTGTTGATTTTACAGACCTAGATTCTTTTTCTTCTTCATAATTATATCAAATAGCTTTTATTCTCTGACAGCATGTGTTTATATGGGGTTAATACGGTATGCATCTGTACCTCTGTGTGGACAGAAAAAAAAAAAAGAGGAACAGGCACGCGTTGTCAAGAATGTTTTACATTGTCTTTGCTGCCAGGACAGATTAGCAATGCTACAAAGTGCACGTACTCGACACCTGCAGCAAGACTGGCATAGCCTCGTGCGGCGTGGTCTCTCTCTTGTGCAGTTCTTAGCTGTCACATAAAAACAATTCCTACCTGGTGGGATGTTGTGAGAAGATAAGGTATTTTGAGAGGCTACCTCCCAGGAAGTTACTGACCAAGTAATGAACTGGGAATCTGAATACTATCATTTTGTCAAAAGAAGCGTAGTGTTAAGACACTATCATGCAGCTGAGATGAAATTACCAAAGCGCTAATGGAATTCGTATTATGCCGTGCTTTATTTTGTTGGAGCCAGACTGCTACAAGCTCAGGTTATTTCAAGTTTTGGCAAAGTAAGCAAGGCTGACCTCAGTCAATACTTAGTTTTCCTCTGAGTCTTGCTTTTCCTAGGGGGAAGCCCTCCCATCAGGGCTGTTCTTGCAAGCTACTGTAAGGATATTGGAGTTGGCGTGTCTTCTATGAAATTAAAAAACCAACAGCGTGGCCATATTAAATTCACATGTAGGGTGTGCCTGATATCTGCCTGCTTTCTTTTGAGGAACTCTCTTGTGAATTTGCAGAAAGATAAAGTTAATAGTCATCTTCTGTCCTGCCCTCAAGTATTACTTAGCTTTCATACAGCTATTGAATTTCATTCTGTAGAATTTATCAAAACAGCAATTGACGGATGTGATTTCTGTATTTAAAAAAAAAAAAAATCCTGTGAAGCGCTTTAAGTATATAGCTGAAAAGTGCCACATAAATATGGTATTATCTTTTTATGGAGTTTAATCTCTATGTGTGTAGGTTCACATGGGTAAGTTGAATTAGTCTGCTGTGGTAATAGGCGCATTAGAAGTTAGCAAAGGATCAAATGTGGGTCATTTCTTGGTGGCAGGGTGATTTTTGTGTGAGTTGGGAGTAAACGACCCCAAGGCCGGTTTGATAAGCCTTTTTCACTTTGTCTAGACTCTGTTTACAGATCCATCCCAAGTGGCTTACGTCCAACAGGATGCCACCACCCAGCAGGTAAGAAAGAGACATTATTTTCCTTGGGCCTGAAACTGTAAGGAAACTGTTACCGAAGGTAAAGGGACGTTGTTGTGGTGCTAGAGCGTAATAAGCTATCTCTGAATCTGTCAAATGGCAGCCTTCAGTCATGTACTGTCATCCCAGTGATCAGAGGCAAAAAGCTTGTGATAACAAGCTACTATTATCTTGTCTAGTTTGTGCATGAATGACAATAAGAAGTTAAGAGAGTTTGAGTTTTTTTTTTTTTTTAAATTCATGTTCAACAAAAACTGCCCCAGATATAATGAAAAATCTTTTAACGGTGTCCCTTTAAGTCAGCAAGCTGATGTGGCTGACTTGATTTTAATGTCATTCTGGAAAGACTGGGTCCTCGTACAGATTCTGATCCAAATGCCTTTAAATCCATAAAAGGCTCTCAAGGGATAGAAATTCGGATCAAATTCTAGATTTACCAGAAACTTCACAGGAAATTAATTGTAAAACCTGAAGAAGTTCAACTACTGGCTCCCTTACCTTACCAGGGCATCCCAGGTCTGATGTGCTTGCCAGTGTGAAGCGGGCGAGGAACAGAACAAAATTGGAGCCTGTGGTTATAAAGTTCTGATTATTTTTCTTTTTTCATCTGTCATGGATGTGAAGGTTTTATTCTTAACTTTTGCTAGTATCTTTGGTGATTGCATTGTGGTAATCAGGTATAGGTGCTTTCGGATCTAGGTCTCCAGTTAAAATTCTCTGCTTGTCATAGAGACTTAAAATCATTACTGCTTGGTGAGTCTTTAATGGCACGTGTGAATTGACGTGTTAGATCTGAATCATTACTAACGCCATCATTAAAATGCGTATTTGTTGACAGTCTTGGGGCAGAGTGAAGGGTTGAATGTGCATCGAAAATAAACTTTCTTCTTGCTAAAAGGAGACCTTCTAAACTGTTGAGGCACAGGCATGAAGTTATATGAATGACGCAGTAAAGGCGTTACCTGTTTTCTTTCCAGTTCTCTGGAGGTATTGGGAGTGTCATTCTGGAATTTTTGCCACATCGGTTTCCTTGCATTAAGAAGCCGAAGAATCCTATTTGTCTTAAAGCTCATTTAACAAATAAATATATGATCTAATTAAAAGTAGGGATTATTCATACGTGCGGTGCAAATGACACTCGTGACAGCAGAGGTGGTGTGCTGTTACTATCCCATGTTGCGTATCAAGGGCATGAGCGCTTCTCTGAGAGTCCTCGGCCCGTCCTCCCTTCCCACGCTGTCTGACAGCAGTCCCAGCAGAGACGTTCATTTGCTTGTGAATGGTCAGTCCCTCGTTATGGCAGCTCCTGCCTTTGCAGGTGTTTCTACATCAGCATTTCACGTGGAACATCCCTGAACTGACAACAAATGTTAAAATAATATTAAAGCTCCTCTTGTCTTTCAAAAGAAACTTCGTGTTAAAAAGAAATTGAAAGTTTTTTAAAAATAATGCCCATATTCCTTGCAGTGTCTGACATGGAAGTGAAAGTAAGGATATGTTTGAAGTGTGATTAGTAGTAGGAAATGCTAATATGAGGTACACATAGACACAAGCTTGTGTGAACCTCTCATTGCTGGCAGACCTGGAGGTGTGCCATTGAATAATGATGCCTTTTCTGTTGCCACTTGGCATCAGAAATGTCAATACCAGACAGCTTGGTTCAGCTGTCGTCTTGGCGGTTTCCTCCTCACTGTCACACGGTTCCCTGAAGTCTCTTTGCTGTATCTTTTAAGCAGTTTCATAAATTACTCTTAATTCCTCTTCAAACAAAACAACTAGATTTGAAGTTTTAAGGCTGTCTATCCGCCTGTGTTACGGATTTTCTTGTCTGCTCCTTCACTGTTGGCACAATTCGCTGTTCTCAGTTTTATCTGATATTTATTAAACACTCCGTAGAGGTGCAGGGGATTTAATTTCAGCGTAAAAGCTGTTTAACAGTCAGAGGCACAAACTAGAAGCCACATGATGTCAACTGTAGAGACGGATGAAAAATCATGCGGGATAACGGTGCAAATTCCTGTATAGATAAGCAGGAAACAAAAGACAGGAAAGGTGATTCCTAGGATCTTAATTCCGCTTTGTTTTATTGCTGAATGGATGGGAGCGGCATGGTAATTTGCATTAATTTTCGTGTTACTACACAAAAAACCTAGTATGAAAACAACCAAAAATGTATAGTGTGACCAAATAATGTAAAGAAAAAATAATTGTTGGAACCCTTTCATTTGAGTGCTTGATCTTCCAACGAGGTCAGTACACCATCTTGTTTTTATGACAGATCTTGGTTGGCTTGAGAAAAAGAGATAGGCAAAAAGGAGATGCTTCGTTTTCCTTCTTTAATTTTTCCCTTAAAAAAAAAAAGTAAATTTGGAGGTAGAAGAGAAAAAGACCCCAAATCACTGGTTTTACCAAGAGCTAAAGAGCTCCTCACATCTGTTTTTAGTGCAGTTTGAACCCTGGCTGGATAGGACCTTAATTGAAAGCCAAAAGTGGGAGATAAGAAATTTAAAAGCTGCAAAATCTAGACTGAGTTTTGAAGCCTTTCCCTTTGTCCCTGGATCTGCAGGTTTTGTCCAAGTCTGTCATCCCTACTGGGGGGAAAAAAAAAAAAATCGTTACAATGCTGCAGGTTTTGACCTAGTGTAGGACTCCAGGGAGCTTTGCATGGAGGGCACTGCCCGTATGTAAGTGACTGATGGAAATGACGCAGTGCTAAAATGAGTGCCTATAATTTTAGGTAACTGTGCTCTTGCCTGCTGCTGCTCAGAGCATGAATCCCACCAACCTGTCCGTGCTCGGCAACGTTGCCGAATCCCCCCAGCAAATGGCTCTGGAGCAGGGTCCACAAGCAGATAGAGTAAGTTGCCAGGCACCCTTTTCTTTTGAATGTACGAGTACACTGATTTCATTGCTCCATTGTCTCAGGTGGTGAAACGTGTCCGAGTGATATGGGAGGAGATGCGAGAAAGCTGTAGCACAGATTTGTACTGTCTTTCATAGTCTCACCATGGAATGTGTGGGGTTTTTTTAGGGAGAGATCATGTATTTAATATACAGAGAAACCTGTTCTGCAGATTGTTCTGTCTTGAGCAGCCACCTTAAAATAGTCTTCTCAGCTTTGAAAAGCGAAGTTAACAGAAGGTGTAATGCTGTCACGTAGGACCAACATCCACTGGGTCTCTTTGCCAGTCTTTTAAGACAGCTTTACTGTGCGTAGTATTTCTTGTTCTCTACCTGAGAAACTGGCGTGGGTGATGGAATGGTCTGTGCAGTGCACTTCAAATAATTTCTGCTTCTTTTTTTTTTTTTGTAGGGATAAACTTTAAAATTAGCGAGAGAATACAATGCCCTCAACTGTCCTCCATGTCCCATAGCTTATATCTAGTCCCCATGTTGTCTCATCCCTTATTGACCTCTACACGTGTGCTCTGGGGATTGTTTTTATTCGATTGTATGATAGGAGAGAAAAGATCATGTGCCAAAGTGCAGGATTCTCTCACTTGTACAGAAGAAGTTAAAATACAGCTTTAGGCTCTAAATAACTTCCACAGAGCCTGGACTCTGTTTCAGACCTTCTGTGAGGGTCCAGAACTTCTGATTTCAGTTTCTTCTCCCGAGAAGTCAGTCCTTGACAAGGTAGAGCTGTGACACAGAGCTGTCCTGAGCGAGGCTGTTAGCAGCAGCGATGTGAAACATCCCTCAGCAATCATTTATCATGTCGCTTCGCTTTCCCTTGTCCTCCTTTCCATTACCAAAGGAAGCAGAAAGGGTAGACTAGCAAGAACCTTCATTGCTCGTCTCGGTAGGAGCGTTTTTCTTCGTGAGTCAGTTTTGATTGTTTGTTGTGAATTTTCTCCTCAGGCATCATTACCGGTGCATAACCAGGTGTTACCTCCTATGGAGGCAGTGGATGGTTCTGACCCTTTAGCACCTCTGCAGAATCAAATGGGAAGGATGGAAACAAAAGAGGAAGATGATGAGGATGAAGATGAGGAAGAAGATGGGGAAGACACTGACATGGATGAATGGGATCCAGATCCACCTCGACCCTTTGATCCCAATGATTTGTGTAAGCGTATGAAGTAGTATGTAGTGTGTTAGCCACCCTCCCCTTTTTTCTTTCCCCTCCATCAGCCCTCTAGTAAATGGAGTTGAAAACCATTCAGATTTTAGCAATAATAAGTAAACCCCTTTATACCCAGAAATGTAGACTCATATTGGGCTCCCTTACTGAAAAGACAAGGTTCTGTCTCAGGTGGAGTCTCTGAGCTGCTCTGTTCTTCACTTTGCAGGAGGCTGCCCTCTCTAATGTTTTAAAATGTAGACAGACTATTGGAATAAATGTTCCCACAGCTGAGCCAAAGATGTTTGGAGAGAGATAAGGCTGTCTCTTCGGAGCTGGTGCGTGAGTGTCTGCCTGACAGTCATGTCCTCTCTGACTTTGTGTTGTAGGGTGTGAAGAGTGTAATAATGCACATCCCTCCGTGTGTCCAAAACACGGACCTTTGCATCCCATCCCAAACCGGCCTGTGCTGACCAGGGCGAGAGCCAGCCTCCCCTTGGTGCTCTATATAGACAGGTTTTTGGGAGGTGTGTTCTCCAAAAGGCGTATCCCAAAACGCACGCAGTTTGGACCCGTGGAAGGACCCCTGGTTAGACAAACTGAACTCAAAGACTGCTATATCCATTTGAAGGTAAGGGGGTGTGTGCGCGAGAGAAGGGGGATCAATTTGTGCCTAAGCTTTGATTTTCATGAATTTGTCGCTCTGCCTCGATCAGTTACTTCACTAGAGATGTTCTGTTGTTACTTCCGTGTCGGAATGTAACTCAGAAATACCTGGATTGCTTTGGCTTGAAATCTACTCTGTTATTCAGGGAGACACAATAATCGTGGTGAATATTCTGGCATTATGGTGTTACGATATGTAAGACGCATAACGTGGAATGCTGTGAATCACTCTCACGTGGGCTGAAGCAGCATCTGGACATAAAAATAGTAGCCCCATCTGAGGATGTTTTGCAGCCATCGCTTTTTGTGTCATCCTGTGACTTAAGTTAAAAATATTTTTCTTCCCCTTTTCCTCCTCTCCCCCACAAGACGTAGAGGAGAGGAGAGATTTTTTCCCCCCTTCTTCATGCCAAGTCGTTGGCGTGAGGTATAAGGGATTTGACTGACTCTTATCCATTTATTTACTGGTTTCATTATATGAATTGGTCCTTTATTTGCTGGAGATTAGGTCCGCAGTCTTAGGAGCGCAGGTCTCTGTCGGTCAGTGTCTGACAAGGAAGTTGTGACCACAGGCAGGTTCAGTAACCCAACAGAAGTTCGGCTGAAGAAGCGCTGCTTCCAGCTTCAGGCAGCGTCACGAGTCAGGAAATCAAAGGAGACGTGGGTCTGCCGGTTAGAAACATCTGACAACTGCTGCCATATAGCCTACTAAAGCTACAGTTTCTTGTGCCTCATTTATAGCCACACGTCAAGTGCTGTGCCTGACCCTTTTAATGAATGCTTCTTGCCCTTGAAAGCCATGGCAGGGTCTCTCGTGTCTCCCTGGTTAAATCTCTGCCTGTTTTTAAGTATTTTTCTGAGTGCTGCCTGTTTCTGGATCCCTGTTCGCAAAGAGAGAAAACTAGCTATGCCTTCATTGCTTTCCTAATGTAAAAGTTGCATGGTCACAAGTAGGTTGAGAGACTGAAATTCTGTGAACCTGCTGCCAGGCAGTTAGTCATATGTAACTGGATTTTGCTACAGGTGTCTCTTGAAAAGGGTGACAGAAAAGACAGAGATTTGCAAGAGGACCTGTGGTTTGAACTTTCTAGCGAGGCTCTTTGTAACTGGATGATGTTTGTGCGCCCAGCTCAAAACCATTTGGAGCAGAACCTGGTAGCGTATCAGTATGGCCACCATATTTATTACACAACCATTAAAAACGTGGAGCCCAAGCAGGAACTCAAGGTATGGCATTGCTCGTGTTTCGTGACTCATTTTTCTACTGATGAAATCAAACCGTAGAGTTGCTACCTAATAAGTGCATCTCCAAGTGCCAGAAATGATTGCTGTAAATAGTTCTAGGGCTTTTTTCTCTGATAAAGCACATGATGGCCTGAATCAAATGTGACTGAAGTCAGTAAGTAGTTAGCCACCGACGTAGGGATTTTAAGTGAGCTTTGGCTCAGGTATAAAATGAGGAAGTTTAAAATAAGAGTATGTAAATGATTTGTCTGTCATTGTCATGCTTTACACGGCATATATTTTGCTGAGGCAATCTAATTTTTATTGCAGCAGTCTTATTCTTTTTAGTTCTGGATGCCCTTTCCAGTTAGTCCTGTGTGCCCTTGACTTGTTTTCTGGTGCCTTAAGTGAATATGGTCTCTCACTTTACCTGGCTTTCCTGGAACTTTTGAAACTTTGCATGTGGAAAATGATAAAGGATATTGTGACCTCCCTGTGAGTTACTTTTTGATCCCTCTAAAAACGTATTGATTACTTTGAGCTCAAAGCAGCGTGGCTGGCTGAGATGGCCTTCGTTTTCGACATCTTTTGGGGAACTGGGGGTAACCAAAAAAACTTTGATATCAGGAAATTGTTTGTCCTTCTTGAAATCTTTTCTTGCACGTGAATCTCAACAATTCAACAAAACGCAGCGTTAAACACACTTAGCTAAACGAGGGCAAAAGCCTGCTTACACACTTATTGCTGATTTTTAAGAGTAGGATTCTTTTTGGTTTCTCTGAAATCAGCCCTTAATTTGTTTAAGCTGAATCACTAGAAACCTTGCTAATACATTTTAAGTGTAGCCAAACATAATTTTCTCAACAGTTTTTAAATCAAATTGAAATCAGACTTTAATTAAATCCGTACAGACCTGCCTGTAGAAGCACCATTTTTCTTGCTTAATGTGTTAGTAATGTCTTTTGGGGTAAAATTGGTTTGATAATTGAAAGCTAATTACCTAGGCTCTGTAATGGGTTTTCCTCCCCAAGTGCGTGTAGGGCTGTTCATATAAATTTTGTCCAAAGATGGAGCTAGGAGGATCAGCAGTCAGTTAAAGCTGAGAACTTCTGTATTGCATGACAGGTGAGTAGTCTGGGAGCTCCAGGCTTTCTTCTTTGTCCAGCTAGTGAGATGCCTGCAAAGTAACACGCACCTGCTAGTGAGTCTTTGAAGGGGTTAGAAATGCCACTCACCACTGCTATGAAAACGCCTGTGGGCCCACTACAAGTTTAAACTTGCCCGGGTTTTTCATGCTGAAAATCTGTTCATGCCTTCTTTAAGAAATCTCTTCTAAAATTGAACCTTTTTAATCAAAGGCTAAGGTAAAATGGGAAATGATGCAAGAATTCTCAGCTAAATGTGAGCATCTGACTTCAGGCTCTAATGAACTTTGTCTTTCTGCCTCCCGTGGTTCTCTCTGCTGAAGGCTTCCTAAACCCCCTGTATAACAAAAGTGGGTCCAGCATGCTGCAGCCTGGCAGTTCTTTGTGTTGGGAAGCAGGGCCGTATTGTTCCAATCCTTCAGAAGTTCAGAAACATTTTAAATGAGCCTCTGTGGACAGCGCTGGCTATTGTCTATGTAAAGAGAGTGGGAAAGAAATGGGAAATCCCCCGAGTGAAAAACTTTTCCATTCCTCCTGGTACAGCAAGTAACAGTACTCTGCTGACATCCATCCTTTACAATCATACAGTTGGCTCTAAAGAGATTAATCTTACTTCCTTTAGAGCTACTGGTAGCCATGTGTGAGATTAACGTTCATATTAGGAGGCTATACCTTAAAATTAAATGGATATGCTTTCAGAGCAAAGCTCTTTTATTCCTCAGCAGGGGCATATTGATCTCAATAGGCTTTATTATTGAGGATGAAAGGAGCAATAAGAGTCGGTGGTTGAGGCGAGTGAAGTAAATGTATTGCTTAAAAAACATTCTCAAATCAATTCCCCTTAGTTCTGGTTTCATCTAAGAAAGTGTTCTGCTATCTTGTATCCCTGCTGCAGGTGTGGTACGCTGCCTCTTACGCAGAGTTTGTGAACCAGAAGATCCATGACATATCTGAGGAGGAAAGGAAGGGTAACTTGGGCTCTTCTGCTCTCAGTTTTTGCAGTCCGATGGTGGTTGGGGTGTTGTACTTCTTAGTTTCAAGTACATGGCCTGCATAGAGCTCCCAAATTTCTGCTAGGTTACGAAAAGTTAAACCAAATCTCGATTGTATTATTGGGACTTAATTCTGTTAAGTCTTCTCATGCTAATTTTACAATAATTTAACCTTCTGCCTCAGTTTCTGGGAGGCATTAGGTTGCTGCTGGAAAGGGGCATGTTTCTGTACTTGATGTCTATTGTTGAGCCTGTGTCATAAACCGATGTGCCACTGCTTTAGATAGAGAAATTTCTCTTGACCTCCCCTAATCCATGCCAGAGAGACAATCCTGTAGGTGCTCTTCCTTACAAGGGTATATTTCAAAATGTCCCTGAATTTCAAGCAGTGTATATAGTCCATGTGAATTGTCCCCAGCAACCTTTTTGTCTTTCTGCGATGAGCTGTGGTCATGCCACAGTGCAGAGGGGATAAAAGCAAAGCTAAACGGAGCGGTGCTGGGTATTCTGCAGTCTGTCTAAGCTTCAGGGGAGAAATACGGCCCACAGAGGACAGAAAGGCTTGGGGAAAAAAAAATGAGGCATTTAATTGGTGGTGACTGAAATGCTGTTATTGACATTTCCAATTGAACATAGTTCTCAGAGAGCAGGAGAAGAACTGGCCGTGTTATGAGTGCAATCGTCGTTTCATGAGCTCAGAGCAACTCCAGCAGCACCTCAACTCCCACGATGAGAAGCTGGACTTCTTCAGCAGGTACTGAAAGCTTTAGCTTTGTCTGTGTATCACTACGGTGCCTCCCCAAACTTGCAGCAAGGAGGGTATTTGCCCTACAGATCTTACTGACCACCTTGGGTGCCCAAGAGAGAACGGCTCAGCGCCGGAAGGTAAGAATATGGCACCGGGAAGCTGATTGGTGTAAGAGACTTTGCGAAAGGAGTAGCTCGAGGGAAATAAATACCCCGTTGAAACTGGTGAGATATTTTTGGTTTGCTTTTGGTTTTTCACCAGCGACTTAAAAAACTGCAATATTTCAGTACCACAAAATTGCAATACTGATGCTTCTCAGATGTATGCAGATAAAGAGCTTGGAGAACGAGACTTCTAGTGCTTTGGCTTCTCATTGGGCTGGCAAGATAGTTTATCCTAACCTATTAAAAGCTGAATCTACAAACATCCATCAGAGAGCAGAAGACATTGGTGCTGCCTTTTTCCTGAAACTTAGCAAGCGGTTGCATTTTCTTTTCTTTTTCTTTTTAACACAGAAAATTGTTCCCTTCAGTTTACTGCCTGACATCAATGGCTAAGTGCCTTTTTGGGGAGGGATGTTATGGCTTCAGGTTTTAAATTGGTTTCCTTGTGCACTTGTTCCATCTTGCTGAAAATGCTTTCCAGCACGCCGTACGCTGGGGTGTTGGAAGTAGGAGAGTTGCCATGGCAGAGGACTTGCTAGAAGCCAGTAGTCCTCTCAGTCCCACGATTAGTGAAATAAATTTTAATGCGTTCTGGACTTTGATTTCTCATAGAGCACAAAATAAATAGATAGCAGCCAGTACCCTATTTTTTTTCCTGCCAGAATTTGTTCAGGTTTTATTATTTCCTGCAGGCCATTGTTACTGAGTTGAATGAGTGAATAGTGATGCTGAGAAGGAATGCATAAAATCAGTGCAGATTCCAAATCCATCTTTTTTTGTCTCTAACCTGGAGCACTATGTATTCTGCAGAGCCAGAGGCCGAGGCCGTGGGCGAGGAAAGAGGAGGTTTGGACCAGGCAGACGCCCAGGGCGCCCTCCCAAATTCATGCGTATGGAAGTAACCAGTGAAAATGGGGAAAAGTGTGAAGAAGGGACGCAGGTATATTTTGGGCGATGGGGAGGAGGGGGGGAAAAAAAAGATCACGTGGGATGTATAACTCCTGACTAAAAGAATTTAGGGCATCAGTGCAAATTGAGGGTGTGCTTTGGATTTATACCCAAGCAAGTCTTGGTTTTTCTAGCTGTGATTCTCTGCCAGGAAGCACACTACTTTCCTTCTATAAAAAAACCTGTAAAATCACTTGCATTTCTACAGTAACTTTCATCCCAAAGCACTTAGCAGCGAGATAGGTTATTGCGGCACTTTAGCAGCATGGCAAAAGTAATTTAGAGAGTAAAACTGTAATGGGAATTTAGGTTTGTATTTGTCCTTTTTGGAATGTGAGGTCAGAGTCTGCTCTTATAACTGTTGCTGGCAGAATTAAACCGGTTTGAGCTATGATTCTTTATGATGTTTTAATATTAACGAGAGGGCCTCCTGTAGGCATTCTTACTGCAAAATGTTTTCTTGCTTGGGGGTTATATTCTAGCGGGACCTAATGTGATGCATTTATCTAAGTATAATGCTAAATTCTCTCGGATGCTGACCACGCTTAAGTTGCCACCAAGTCCTTTTATGAAAGGTGTCACAAGGGATCAGCGGCTCTGTTTTATGACTTAGCTGAAGGCTGATATCTGGAGCGGTAATTTTCCTCTGGCATCTCACTGGGTCATGGTTCAGTGCTGACTCAGAGGGAGGAATGTATACATTGCCTCTGAATGCCTGCCGCTCGTTTTCTGAGCATGCAGAATTGCCCTAAATGTTGTGTTGAGCGCAGGCAGTTGCGAGATCACCCTCTTTGCAAGCTGACGTGACCCAAGCCAGCTCCATTTAGACAAGTGAGCATAATGCTGTTCCCAAACTCTTAACTCCGGAGAGACGGGGCTTACTGGGCGCAGTCCCATGCTAATGTGTCTCAATGGCATCTGGACTGGAGGTGGCTCACATCCTGCCAGCTTGGAGCATGGCCCAGAGCTAGCTCACGTGTGTCTACAGTCGAGCAGGGCCGTGGTTATGTCCCAAGCCTTTGGAGGTCTGCCCGCCTCGCTAATGACTAGGCGTGAGTTCACCTGCCTGAGAACTTGAGTCTCGGGATGCTGTGAGCGCGGTTTAGTGTCAGCAAGTGTGGAAACTTGCCGCCTAGACCAGGACTGGACATTTGGCTGGTATATTGCTCTATTAAGTGTCTCTATCTGGTAAGCATTCACGGTTTGTAACAGCTGCGCTCCTTCTGGCACCTCCCTGTTTTTCTTCTCCCACACCTGCTTTTGCGCTTTGACACTACCAGCCTTGAGCTGATATGCTTTTGGTGCTCTAGCTTGTGCTTTTAAGCTTCCTTAGTTGCATTAAGTGATGTCAAGGGAGGATGTATGGTTTGTTTTTTTTCCTGTAATACGGGAGGATTCCATCCCAGAGGAGTTGCTGGAATTTATATGGGAAGAATGTAGATTTTTGATATGCGCTTCCCGCTCCCAACACCCTCCCTTATCTCTTATGCTAATGCAAAAAAGGAGGAAAACAGCTTTGTGTGATAAATGTAAGTGATGTATGCAGCTGGGTAGATGAGAGTACGCAGAGCTTGGAAACTGGATAGCAAAACACACGGTGCACAGTGTAACGATGTTGTTTGTCACTCTCCAGTTCAGCACTCCAGCTAGTTTGTTAGGAGAAGACGCTGCATAACTATACATGATAATGTTTCAAAATGACAATAATTTCAACGAGACAGAACTTCTCTGCTTTCCCTGGTCTGTGCTAGTCACTTTGGTCTTACTTTCTCACGGGTCAGCCTATGTCATCTTTGGTTAAAGCAGTAAGAGGGTCACGAGTGCAGAAGAACTTGCTTGGCTGATAACACTGGGTGGTTTTGATTGTCTGTGTCCGATCAGACAATACGATGGCCAAGAGAGTCGCCTACCTGCAGCACTTCTTCCCTAGCGCTCTGAATCTTGTTGCTGTAGGTGGAGGTGATCTGCCGAGAGCATCAGTGGAACACAGTAGGAAAGCGTTAGTGTAGACACATTTTGTTTATAGCTTGTGATTAAGTATGTAGAAATCTTGTTGTCTGCTGAGTATTATCAACGCATTTTTCAGTGGGTGGGGGGAATAATCACTGGTTGTATGATTTGCGATTTCAGGACTTGCTGCATTTTTCCAGCAAGGGGCAGTTTGATGAGGCCGGACAAGCCGCACTGAATGGGTTGGAGCAGCAGGAACAGACTCCAGTGCCATCAGAGACACAGTTGGCACTGGAGCAGCAGTCAGAAAACCACCCGCTACAAATCCAGCCGCAGCATGATGAGAGCACGGTGCCTACGCAGAGCACCATGACAGCAGATGACATGAGGCGAGCAAAGCGTATCAGGGTAAGCAAAGAGGACGGCGGGTCACGTCTTCTCTCACCCTCTCCATTTGCTGTAACCCAGTGAATGCCGGACCTGCCTGCCAGGACCAGCTGGTCCCTTTCTCTCACTGTCGTATCCATTTCCAAATCCTGAATAAAGCATCTCATTCCTAGCAATTTTCTTTGCACTGAGAGGAAGACAAATCTCATGTAAAGAACTAGTATCTTATGAGATGCTAGTGAGAACTGGTCACCAATTGGAGCTGATTCAATTGCAGCACAGTAATTCTTTCATAGAAACACAGTCCCTCCAAGCTGGCAAGCAGGAGTGCTTCGAACAGCCGGCTGAATCATGGTACTGTGGCACAGAGTAATGACTTGTTCACAGCACCATCTGTGTCTCTCAGAACTCTTGCCTTGCAAATAGGTGCCAAAGAGGAACCATGACCTCAGTTTAGATCCAACTGAGTTGGTGATGATGATGATGATATTTAGTGATAAAGTCCTTTCTTGGGGTAGAAAAACCTGCCTGTCTTTGAGATTAAAACCTGTGCTAAGAGCTTTGTGTACCGACAGCAAACACTTTGAGCCTGAGCTTTGTGTCAACTGGGTGAGCTGTTTTTTCTCTACTGTGTGTGGGAGGGAAATGATTCAAGCAAATAATCCTTCAAGCCATGTAACTGTGAGATTGGGTTATTTAGCCTAAAATCTTTTGCTTGTTCTTCCACGTGCAAAATTTTGATTACAGAAAGGAACAGCTGCAATAGGGGTAACACTTCATTCTTAGGGGATGAGAAAGGATTAGAAAAGAGTTGACTAACTGTTCCGTATCGGAAGATCTTGAGCCAAATTTTGCTCTCAGTTTATAGCAACATATATGCGAGACCACTGGTAGTGTTACCTCATAAACGCAGCAGCATATCTTGAAGGAAGAATTTGGCTCAGGCACATTAAGACTGGAGAATTTTTAACCATATAAGACGCTTGCACTCTCAGAATGACAAGCTTCTACCAGTAATTTGATTTTCATATGTTAAAAGCTTGGGGGATTTTTACTGAATGTATTGTAGGGTGGATAACAGAGTACAAAGGCAGATGCCGAGTTTTGACAGTAAAGGGCATGGGTATTTACTGCTTATGATATGCCACAACTTCATCAGTAGACAGTCAAGGCCTGGGTGTGATGGAAAGAAAAAGCGTTGCCTGTTTCCCCAAACCTTTGAACCCGAGATGTGAACTTAAGATCATCTTAAACAGTAAATGTGGGAAGAAAGGGACAGAAATTCTGAAGTTACTTCTTTGTCTTGTGACTTAGCTTTTGTTCCCTGGAAATTCATCACAAATGGATGACAAATAAGAGGAGTGCAGTGGTGGTTTAGTCCTTGGTGATGTATTTGTATTGCCAAGTCTCCCTAACTTCCCATACATCTGGCAGCTCGTGTTCAGCAGAGTCCTGGAGATGTTTCAAGATAGGGGCACTGGCAGAATGGCAGATGGGTGGTTGCGTAGGACCTTTCCGTATTGCGTCAGACTGTGAGCAATGAGAACTTGAGATAAGAGTAAACCAGCAAGCATTAATTTTTTTAAGCACTGAAAAATCACAGGAAGCTCTAGCGTCCTATGAGCACTCATTCAATTCAACTCTTCGCAGCACCTTCTTATAATAACATGCACTTAACATTATAAGCAAGCAAACGTGGTTTTAAGATGGGTAGTAAATCAGTCACTTCCAAAGAACAGGTAGAAAGTCTTGACTCCTGATTATGATCTGGAGACCTGTGTAGCTCCAGTTCTTCCTTATTACTCACGTAGGATTTCATTTTTAAAAACAATAATTCTTTGTGAATTGCTTCGACTTTTCTAAGGTTTAAGGCAGTGATGCTCTGAGAGTGCTTTCATTCTAGCTGGAAGCACTCATCTCTGATGCCACAGGGTTCAAGTCCTGATAGGATCAGTTCATTTTTCAGCCTCTGCTCTAGAGCCTGTGGAGTTTCCTTGGAGATCAGACCTTAAATATGGCAGTCATGTCCTTAGTATTGAAAAGAGATGCACCCACCCTTCAAGATACTCTTGTTACAAATTAGAGGAACGTGTGGCCTGCAGCCAAAATGAATAGTTGTTTTTAATTCGGTTCTGAGCAGCGTCCAGAGTGTCTGTGGGCTGATTCCAGAAACATCTGCATTTCCAGATTGCCTTTTTTTACATACAGACCTGATCCTAAAATGTCCTTTGTGTAGGCGACTGCTTTATTCGGAGGAAGCAACTGGCAGGGGTAGGGGTATGATTTGGAAAGCACAGTCACTTCCTTCGTGCTGAAAGAAATGCAACTGGTTGTATAACGAAGAGTACAAACAGTAAAATGAGGTTAAAAAAAGACCCTACTCCTTAACTTTTTCACTCTTCTAATCCTTGCCCTGTTGTCGTCCTGCCCTAATTATTCCCTTCTGCTAAAAGCATTTCATTCTCACTGTGGCTCTGCCATACACATTACATCATTGCTAATCAACTCTGAGAAAACATGAAAGGTCACAAAACACCTTCAAGATTATCTGTGGTTTTTATCTTTGCCCTTTAACTCCCCTTGGGCAGTTACTAACTACAGGGTAAACCTTGAAGATCTGCTTAGTGTTTCCTGAGGCAAAAACCTCAAAGGAGTCTTGCCTCGGTAAAGAGTAAACTAGCTAGAAGAGCTGGCCCTCGTAGTGACCTGCAGAAGCGTGACTATGGCGGAAGTCAAGGCTTCTGTTTTAAAGTCCATTGCATAACATAAGTATTTTTCTCTCCCTCAATGCTGCCTGCTCAGCTGGAGCTGCAGGTAGGTTTGATTTGGTTTTTTGTTTCGTTGGGTTTTTGCTGTATCTAATCGAATGGTACGTAACAACATCGCCTTCCATGTTGTTTTGTCCAACTTCTGTTGAGTGTCTCCTGATTGATCCCGCATCGTAAATTGTCACATTTGTTCTTCTTTAAGCAACCGATGTCCAGAACTAAGTGTTATCTGAGTAACAATTTGCATTCTTCTAGTTCTTTTCATACTAATTAATTGCAAATTTAAGGTGAATATTATAGGAGAAAACTGCTTGGATGAGATACCATAATATCCATCTTAAAGTTTTGGAGGATTTGTTTACGCAATTGTTTGCACTGGATCAATCTTACCAGCTAATGAGACAACATCTAGTTGTCTTTTCCTGGTTTTATGGTTGAAAGCTTATCTAACCAAAGAGCAGTAAAAGGTTTCACCCTTCTGTAGGCTTTGAGACAGCAACGGGACTATGTTGATTTACACGGTATAGAAGTCTGGCCTGCTATCTTAGCAGCCCGATTGCTGGGGGTTACAAACAGCGAAGTGCAGTAATAGTGGAGTTAAGAACTTGAAGTGCGTCTCTTCAACTGTTTGGTTTATTAGCATATCCCTGTAGTGAAGGGGAAAACTATATACTTCTGACTCCAACCAGTTAACTTTTACACAGCACACGTCTGTCTTGCCAACTCACGGTCTGACTTACAGCAGATCCGTGTATTTCCTATTGTCTCCACTTCTCCCCTTGTAAAACAGAGAGTGGGGATGACGACAATTCATGGGAGGGCTCATTTGGGGTTCCTGTATGAAATTGTTAGCTTTTTTAATAGCAAAACAGTTGCTCTCATGTTACTTTCTCTGGAATGAAAGTATAGGTTTCCCTCTGCAGTTCAGATGGTGAAAAGGATCGTTCAGGTTCACTAATTTAATCTCTAGCACAGCACTTCACAGTATTCCCAAGCTATTCCCTCGTTCCGGCAGAACTTCACTTTCTCAATGTCAGCCATTGGCACACACTTAAGGGACACAGCAAATGTCAGCCCAGACATTCTTCCCACAAGAAAAGGCGAGAGGAAACCAGGGAAATGTGTTGGCAGAAGTCTTGAAAGTATCTCATGGAGAAGTATGTAGTGTTGAACGTGTGTAAGCACAGGTGCCAGCAATGTTCTAGCGCTATTTCTCTAACTATTGTGGCGTAGATTCTGTGTGTAACATCTGCAAAGAGAAGACATCAATAAGTGCCGATGTACAGGTCTTATTTTGGGGAAGAGTAGAGTATTCCTTAGACTTCTTGCGAGAAATGGCAGTATTGCAGTGTAGTTTGAGTACAGTACGGGTGATAGTGTGCTGTGGGATTTCATGCATGCAGAGGTATGACTTGCTTCCAGCTTTGCAACTATCCAACGTAAAAGTTCTCATCCAATATTGAAATGCAGACGCAGGGCACACTTGCCTAATTCTACAGGCAACATGTCCAGCAGCATCTCTTCCTCCAGCACACAGCGGTGGTTTCGGGACTGGGATGGCTCTATAACGTTTATCGGAAGGGGAAGGCGGGGAAGGGAAGAGAGAACAATCATGAAATGTTACAGAAAAGGTAGGCTGAAGGAAAGCACACACCAAAACAAAGCAGGGACTGAGAAGAGAAATTGTGCACGGTAGGAGTGGAGAAGAACAGAGAAGAGCAGCCCAGTGTATTACATTTTAAAATGAATGTTCGCACAACCCACATTATGCTCAATTCACGATATTTGTAGTTTCTTGCAATACCAAGAAAAGCAATTTCGAGTTTGACTGTGTATAATCAACTACCCTTTGAGCAGACGACAGAATCTATCAGAGTTCCTCTTGATTCAGCACCGGTGCGTTTTTCATATTTCTTCTTAGCTTTTAGGCTCTCACGCGTGATTAATGCTACATGGCAAAGACAGGTGAATTGCTCACAAGATCTTAACTTTTGCTTGTAAACCTGCCATTCTGCCCCTGCTGTAATGTTTTGAAACTCTATTCTTCTTTTTGATAATAACAAAAAGGTTGAGTGTATGTTCCACCAGAAGTTTTCCAGGCAATGCTAAACCACTGCTGCGCATCTCTGTGGTGATCTTTGGTGCAGGGGCTGATTTTGTAAAGGGCTGTGGAATTTCATAAGCCCTGCTCCTGCGTGAAAGACAAGGCATTAGCTTGCCCTTCCTTTGTATGGTGGCTGAACTTTTGACCCGATCTCCAGTAATCAGCTGGAATTGCAGCTTTTCTCAGGCCCAGGTCTGTACTTCAGAGAGGACTTAGTTTTATTTTACAGAAAAATGCCACGCTAAAGACGAAAGTTAGCTCAATCAGCAGAAAACCAGGGACTGGAGATGAAACTCCTGCATTGTGTTCTCCTAACTCCATGTGTAACTGCAGGTATATCCCTTAACTTCTGCCTGTCACACCCTCCCCTTCTGTAAAATGGAGACAGAATCTACAACGCAGAAGCATTTTTTTTTTTGAAGTTTAGGTTCACTGATAATCTGGTATATTTAATCTTGAAAATATTTGGATGTGGGTTCTATACATAATAATAAAAGCTAATGGTCTCTTTGATGTTTCTTTCAGAATGCAGCTCTTCAGCACCTGTTCATACGGAAATCCTTTCGGCCGTTCAAATGTCTCCAGTGTGGGAAGGCCTTCCGGGAAAAGGACAAACTGGATCAGCATTTGCGGTTTCATGGACGGGAAGGGAACTGCCCTTTGACTTGTGACATCTGCAACAAGGGCTTCATCAACAGCGGTGCTCTCGAGAGCCACATGAAGTTCCACATGGACCAGAAAACATACTCCTGCATTTTCTGTCCCGAGTCCTTTGACCGCTTGGATCTGCTTAAAGATCATGTGGCCATCCATGTCAATGATGGCTATTTCACCTGCCCTACCTGCAAAAAACGCTTTCCGGATTTTATCCAGGTGAGATGCCGTACTGGTTTGAAGCGCTGCCTTCCAGGTCTCTTGCAAGCGCTCCGTTCATGGATTTTCAGTACTGTTCTTGTGTAACGCTGCACGTCAGTTCATTCTCACAAAGATAAAGGGGTCCATGTCAGTCAGAAATGAAAAAGGAAGAGTGACTAAGCATTGCTAGATGTTGTCTTATGCCGCTGAAGTGCTCTTTCCACTAAATCATCAGGTGTGGTACTTCAATCTGGCATTAGAAGGCACTGTACTGTGGGAGGGGTCGTCCCTTATCCCCAGAAAATGCCGAAAGCAGAGGTCCCGACTGCTTTTGGTCAGTACAGATCCATGGCACAAAAAGGGATTGTCTTTTGCTGTATGCAGCTTGTACTTGAATACACCTTGTCCTTTGTCGTTAAAACTCTGGACCAAAAAGAATTGTGGTTTTACATGATACAAATATCTTTTAATCCCTTGGCTGTTTTTGTCAGGGTAATACATTTGAACGCCTTGCAGAAATGCCAGAACAGATCAGGATACTCTGCTTCCTGGCTTCCCCCTGGGCTTCAGCTGGGTACTTTATTCCTCCTCTTCTCTGCACACTGCTTAGCAGAGGTAGCACTGGAGTAGTGAGTAATGTAATTAGTTTGTGCAGTGTGCAGAGCCGTTGGAGAAGATCGTTAATAGAATTTAAGGATGCTATTTCAATGTTCAGTAAGAAAAACCTGAGACGTACCATGTAGATATTCATTATCCTTCATATGGACAAAGGGCTTGATATGTCTTGCTGAGCTGCCTGACTTAAACTGGATTTCTACATTTCAATTTATGTCAAGTAATAGGAACTGATAGACTATCCAATAGGCTAAAGAGGAAAGGATGGGGAAAAGTGATTTACTAATATAATTCCATCCCGGCAAAAAACCTTGATCTTTTGTAAATGTTGAACAAGGAAAAATGTTGATGATTCAGAAATGCTGTACTACAACCCGATTCCCCATAAACTTTCCCGTGAAACTGAGCCAGTCAGAAGAAGGTCCCACAGCTCTTTTCCAGCTATTTAGCTCTATTTTGGAATTCAGAGATGATTTTTTTCATTTGGTGCATGTGAATAATTAAGTTTAAGCACCATAGATTGCTGCCTACTTAAATACTTTTATGTGGAATAGATAAAGATACTAAGTTCTTCCATGTATGATCAGTATTAGAAGATGGTAAAGAATTAATTAGAGATGCATTTCTTGAGTGGTGCTTGGATTTCAAATGTCAAGCCTCATTAGTTACTTTATTGGGGAAAAAAAAAAATCCCACCAGATGCTTGAAGAGGTCAAGGATAGTCCCAAAGTATGCAAAAGTAATTGCCATTCAGGAATGGCATGCAAATGCTTGTCTGTCTGTTTTGTTTGTTTGTTTTTGCCAATTGAAATTGCAAGCTCATGCTCTCTGATTGAAAGGAATTAGTTCTTACGTTTAGATTTCTTATAAATGAAGTAAAGATCACGAACCTCAGACGAACCTGTTCACACACGGATGATTCAGTAAAACTGGTACATCGTGGACTTTTGCTGCCCATTAAGTGCTCAACTGTGCAATAGCTGATGCCTTCAAGAATCAGTCTTGAGGAAATCAAATTGTCCATCCAGATGGATCACAAAGATGTTAGGGCTTTATAGAAACTATTGCCAAGATATCAACTGTTCTGACAAAATACTTTTTAAGCCAAAGCAGATTAGAGAACTCTTAGAACCTTTTTCCTCTTTTTTTTTTCTTTTTCTTTTTTGCTAAGAGTTTCCTAGACTGTTTTACCACACACTCTTCTCTTTTGAATAAATCTCTTTTTTTCTGTGATCTGCAATTCTAGGTCAAGAAACACGTACGCAGTTTCCATTCAGAAAAGATTTACCAGTGTACAGAATGTGACAAGGCTTTCTGCCGTCCTGACAAGCTGCGACTCCATATGTTGCGACACTCAGACCGCAAAGACTTCCTGTGCTCCACGTGTGGCAAGCAGTTCAAGGTAAGATGACTCTTGACCGGATCATTCCTGATACAGGTGGAGAACACCATTCTTTTCCTTCCTTCAAGTAGACAAGCTCATGTTCTCAAAGGTGGAAGAAGTTAACGTGTAAACGTGCTAGACTTGCCTGCAAGTTGCATGCACTGCTTTGTGTCGTGTGTGAGCTACGACGTTCATTTCTGATGGACAAGGGGCGAGATCCACCCCGGCATGCTCTGCTGGAACAGGGTGTCTCATCTGTGAGATCTTATTTCTAATAATTTAATAGCAAAGGAAGTTTCATCTGCTCATTAAGAACTGGGTCATTGTACAGCTCAATTGCCAGGTGCTTGGGTTGTATTGCTTTTATCAGTTTAGTTAAGAAAACTTCTTGCTGATATCGATGGATTAATAATAATCCTGGCTGAGGTGCCTGTGTCCATGGGATGCAGCTTGTCAGCCCATGACATCCAGATCCCTCCGGAACGGATGGAGCAGGTCTGTGAGCCAGGTAAACTGTGGTGGCATCAGCCTGCTCCTTGTCATTTAGTTTCTTATGGGATACTGAGGGACTAGATGCTTCTGGGTGAAGAAGCACGTTCTAGATAGCGCGTGTCCAAAGAGGCTGGGTTGCATCTGGGAGGTAGGTTCAGTACCGTTGTAGGACTTGCGGTCCTCCTCAGTCAGGAGCATTATTTGATGCAAGTTTCCAGCTGTTGAGCACTAATATTTTAGATAAATTCAAAGAAAAGCCAGAGTGGAGGGGTTTGTTCTCACTGAGGCTGCTAAACTAGCATTAGTTTGGCTCCTGCTTTTGTGGCTGAGTAACCTCAGCTGTGGTTTGAAGGATAAACCTAAACCCAAAGGGGTTTAGGGTGCTGAGCTGTCCCAACACTGAGCATGCAACTCTGTCTGATGGCAGCGCTGGAGAGGAAAAGCCAAAGAGATCTCTGAACAACTTACATCGTGGCTCTTCCTTGTAACAGGTATTAAGGCAGTAAGTGGTGCTGATATTTTTCTCCCTGGTCACTCTT